TTTCTTCGAAACAAGCATCTTCGTGTAAAGTACCTCCGTATGGAAAAAACAAAGATTCATCTGTCTTTTTTAGTTTTGAGTCTGTAATTATGAAATTTTCCATTCAAATTTCGGAACTATAAATGAAACACAGCCATGTTTTTGAGAACTTAAATAATTGAGTGACTAAATCTTGTTGAAGCAATAATAAGTTCTGCAATTTTTAGCCAGACCTTTAAGCATTCATTGTACAGGCCTAAAAAACCTTCTAATTGATATTCCGCTATTTTTAGAAGGCGCTTTTTTTGTAACTCGGCAGGAAAATAACAAAACTACTAAAAATATGCTTTCTATGAAACTTGAGAGAGCTGCTTTCAATCGATGAACTCCTCGGAAGTGCATTGTTTAAACAATAGAATTTTTAAAGAGAGAATAAATTGAGATTACTGTATAAATTTGCTGTCCTAAAAAATTCCAAATTTCCTCTAATAGATAACGCATTACTGCAGAAACACCTTTTTCTTCTATGTTCTTCCGTTTTTAGGAAAAAGAAAGATTTCTAGAAGTGTGATACATTTCTTGCTATCATGTTCACCTCAATGTTGCTGTTCCTCTGAAAACTTCTGTGTCAAATAAAAACGTCATTTTTCATTGAGATACTTGAGTTGACTGAAGAAAGCTCCTCAAAAGAGTGGACATTCCTGTTCTGTTTCTTCTTTCTTTTTCTATTTTTGCATTTGAGATACCGTAACTGTCGTCAAGGAACAAATCATCAACTTTTTTTTTGTTTGCAGGTGAAGATCTGGTTTCAAAACCGTCGTTCGAAACAGAAGAAGTCGAAGGGTAGCGTGGAACGAACGTCGGACGAAGAGGGTGAGTCAGAAGATCGAGCCGATTCGACGCCACCTGAAGAGGGTACGTCGACGACAGCACAACAGGATTGGCAGCATATGACGGGTTTGGCCCCGTCGACGTTGCCGTCGGCGGGGCTTCCACCGACGGGTCTTGGTCCGTCGACGCTTCCGCCGACCGTACTGCCACCACCACCGCAACAAGCTCCTGTGCCGCCAAGTGGACTTATGCCACCCCCGTTGAATACCCCGCTCTCCACTTATGACCCCGTCAAGTACTCTTCGGACGAGTTGAAGCCGTTCTATGATCAAACCGCTTACTACCAGCCGTACATTCTACCACACTCAGGGTATAATGGTTACTAGCGCAGAATTTCCCCTTTTTTCTCTCATAGTCCTAGTTTTATCCCCAATCATGGGCCAAACTTGCTTTATATTGACTTGATGAATTCGAATGATCTTCACCACACGTTGGCTCCTCAACCATCGTCGACTCTGTTTCTTATTGGGGCTTGTGAAGCCTAAAAGCTGAACAAAAC